GTTTCCAAAGAAGGCGAATGTGAAGAAAACAACATACAAGATGACATATCCTATAACCAGCGGTAAGGGATATTCTTTATCCACAACAGAGGGTTTTAAAGTGCTGTTCATCTCTGTGCTGTCATTTGCTGCCATTCTCAAAGTGCTAGATTTCCAAAACGCCAGCTGCTAAATTTTTAAACGTCAGGTGCTACTCCAAGGCCCTTTAGGGATATTTCGCCACTTTCAAATTTCTGTCAAGCCTCTGTTGAGTACCAAAGGTCTAGTAAAGCAATCAAACACAACAGTTTGTTATCAAGCGGAAAAAACGCAACTAGTTGATTCGTATTTCTGTTGCACTGCCTCTCAGCTAATTAACAACGCACTGACCACAACACTCTGAATTTGCAATTTCCTGCTCATGTATTTCTCCACGCTCTCTTGGGCACTGCGCTGTGATTGGATGGTCGTAGTGCCCTTAGACACACGATGTAATCAAGGCGCGGCTCGTCTGCCCTCAAAATCACAGCCATTGTGGTGTGGAGTTCGTGACCGGATGTACGGTTAGTGATTTCTAGTAGCTAAACAAGACGTCAACAAGTCTATGTCAATCTTTTAGCTTCAGCCCACACAAAATCTTTATCTTTTAGACTTCCTCATAATATATTTCGACGACGTTCCGTCCTCTGTCTTCTTCGTAGAAGCACGCAAGAGGCTTGTTTTTCAAAAGTTAACACAGAGGTGGAGACAAACACAACCTTCAAGTTGTTTTCCGGAAGTCACTATTTTTAAATTTTTATTACGGATTTTCCTGAGTGACATCATTATAACAATGTCCGTCACGCACTTTGATTACTAGCGACAGGCAAATCTATTTGAAATACGAAGGAATTATTGCAAGAAAGCCCAATGGAATTTCTAAGAGCTTCCTACACTACCAATAAAGCTGAATGACTTATTTTTAAACTTCAAAAAGCCACAAAGAGCTTACAGCAAAATAAACACGAGAGAAATTCTTGAGTATGTCACGTAATCGTGGCTTAAGCTGAGTCATGGCATAGCGCGTGGGTGAGCACGTAACAGGCTTGAATATTAAATGTCTGTCCTTTTCAAGAGCCCATCAGAAAAAACGTAACATATAAACAAAACAGTAAGAAATATCATTTGACGACTGATAAATTAATCATATTTGTGCGAGAAAATCAACTACCTGAAAATCTTCTCCTAAGGATATTTAAAGTTGGCAGCCAATATAATCTTGATTACCGAATCAATGCAGTTAATTTATGGTTAAGATCGTTATCTAACCTTTATAATTAGTAAGTCTTAATTTTCCCCTTCTGTTTTGTTTTTTCCTTTTGTTTATTTCTACATTTATGTGAGTTTTTTATTTTTCCAATCATAGTAGCTTGTTGATATACAGCTGGTTCAATCTGACCTGAAGCAATCATTTGAGAAACTGATTTTCGTGCGTCTCTGAATTACAGAGGTTACGAACGCATGCTGTGACTAAATATTTAACTACGAAGGAGACAAAGAAGCATCATAAAGAAAAATCTTAAAAATGCAGATAGAGGTAAAAAACATTTCCAAAAAGAATAGACATTGTTTTGATAGGTTTAGGTAGCCTATGGAGTTGTTAATTATTAAACTTATCTGACGATAGTGGCTGTCAAAATCCTCTTTTGATACTTGCCCAAAAGGTCCCGTCCTAATTCATTTTGGGGCTTTTAATTACAGTATTTAAAGGGCACAGTTGTACCAACGTTTGATCGAGGGGGAGGAGGTTGAATTACATTTGAGAAATCAGGACTAAACTTCGAGACAAAACCCCATCACCACAAATTCCATGAGCGTGACTTTACACTGCATGAGGTATGTTGAACCGACGTAAATCCTAAACAAGCAAACTTTCAATATCATATATTATGATAACATTTGTAATGTGTTGGAAAGATATGTTGATATAAAGAAATAATAAAATGTTTCTTTGACGCCTGATAAGTAATCTGTTGGCCATGATATAAAGCAGATCATGCGTTGAGGCGAAGACTGGGCACGATTTCGCATCTCGCTGCTTTCCGGTTTTCCCGTATCCGAGAGGATTGCCATAATCTAATTCTCGAGCAGTGGCTTGTTTTTTAGCCTATGTATTGACCATGATTGAACAAGTCAAGTCCCAGCCAATATTCAATCGCCCTCTACTTGAGAGGCATAAAGTTATCTATATATCATTGTTAGCAAAAGGCGTCCTTCCATCAGTAACCATTCTCTTTGCACAAACAGTGGTTAATACTTACTCATTAACCAGTTGCAAGCTCTTTATGGAGGAAGTTTTGAGGGCGCCAGGGAGGAACAAATACAGGGACCTCCCACGCGGCTCCCTCAATATAAGCGCCCCAATGTTTGCTCCAAAGGACTTCCAAAGCCCCAGACCAATTATGGCCGCCTAACACTTCTGACTGTCTCACTCACTTGCTCTGTCCCAGTTTGTTCTCGGGACTTAATTACAAGGAGCTGCAAAGTCCATTGTGATCGATCGGTATCTAATTACACAGAGATATGTTTTCCGTGTCTGTGATTTTCTAAATACCAGCTGTTATAATCGAAATGCTCTAAACTTATCGAAATTACACCGGGACAAGCCCACGTAGAAAAAAAGAGAACGATACTGCTTTTAAGTCCTTTGCAAACTGGAACACGGGACAACAAGGCGAAGGCGGAATGAAGCACTTGAAAGTCGGACCCGAGTGTCCAGTTCGGTTCCATTCATAAATTATATTGCTCCTTCACTTTTTTCTTGTAGAAACCGCTAAGATCTGATTAGTAATTTTCCCTTCTAGTTAATATATATTTACCTGTAAATTAGTTAGGAGAATTTAGTGTTCTATCAAGATGATAAGTTTGTCTATTCTCATCACCTGCTCTATGAATGATGTATGTCTAGTGTCAAGTTTGCTAGAAACGTAGTCTTCTTCCGTTTGATAATTACCTCTTGGTAGAAGAGTAATTGCCCTTAATTATATTAAACTTGACCCCTATCAGACACTTAAGTGGATGTGGATTTACAATATTTTTTTCGATACGCCCTTTAGTTAACACCAGATAAGATCGTCTATCAACATAAAAATAATTATATTTTGCAAACACTGGATTGTTCTCTCGGTCTTAACGACAATATCTATATTGAAATGTGTATATGAGATGAATTGCTAGTACTTGAGCTGCTGGGATAAAATGGAACGACGGGATATCCTGGCTATGAATTTTAATTTCGTCGAAGAATGGTACTCTTTAGGATTTGAAATTCGTAACCGACTGATTTCTATATCGATATGAAAACTCATCACTACGGTTACCGTACGCGTGTGAGACAGAAGCATGTGCTTTTGTGCGAGATGAATATTGCTCGAAAGCTGACTGATAGAATATGATTGTAATGTTGATGTGTTTTTAAGAAAAATAATCGCGAAAAAATTATCAGATTAAAGTATTGATAAAGGATGCTTCGAAAGCCTAATGCACTAAAAATAAAGAGGCGAGTGAAATCTTGAGAGTCCATTAATAGTAGGGGTACGTAGAAGGTCGAAATTAAACCACCCATGCAATACATCTTCTGTTCTTCATTGAAAGGACAGAACAGTATGGAACAAAGCGACATGGGATTTCCTTGGAAACAAAGCAAATTTAATGCTTGTTAAACTACATCACATTGTTTATTATCGTTCATTTTTTTCACTCCTGTCAGCAGAAACTAGATGTGGTCTTTATTATGAAAGTTTTAACTTTAGACGTGAGTTATTCAAATGTGGTTTGTGATTTTGGTGCCATTAAAATCCATCTCCACTAGGGCACAGAAGCTATCGGACTCCGACTCTAACCTGAGTCCACAATCCAGAATCTAAATCAAGATTTACCTTCCGAAATTGCGACCAAAAGGGAACATGCATCGTGTCAAGAAACATTTCGTATTTGATTGTCGAATAAAGAAAGAAGTAATCACTTGCCGCCAGCGTAACCAAAACAGTTCTGGATAAAAGCAAATATACATTTTTTGATAACTGCGTACTGACGTGACGCAAGCAGTATTTGAACCAGTCAAATAGCAGCCGGATCTCATATGTCCGGCTTACCAAAGCAATCATGTTTCCAAAAATAATTTTGTTCAAGACTAAAAAATTGGAAGGGGTCAACAGCTCACGAGCAACTTCTGTTCCCCAATTTTCTTGTTCTTTTTCGAAGGTTATCAGTGTAATTTATTTAGATTTCAAGTCAAAGCTTGACATCTATTCCGTTTGTTTAAAGTGCATAAATAAATAATTAACATCCTTTTTTTCCCAGTCGGTGAGAAAATCTTGTATGGTAGCATGTGCAGAACTGAGCCACTTACGAAAGAACTTTGCACCAAATGTGAAACCTCTGATTAACTTTTTTGATTTTTCACTGTCAGCGAAAGGGTAATAAATTTAACAAAATGGCTTGCTTTTGTTCTCTTTAAGTAGGTAAAAGAAAAGCGTTAAACCTTTATCCCATTCGCTAGTCTCCGCAAATGGTGGGATGACAAAATATCGCGCGAGATAATCAGCTAGTCTTTCTTTACTTTACAAATGATTAATTACCATAACGAGTTTGCAAGACATCTGTTTTTCTATTTTTACTTTAGGGTGGTCACGACCAAGAGATTGGGTTGAAACTGTTTTTCGTACTCTCTGTGCCGTTTCAAATGTTATTTATTATTATGTATTTCCTATTTATACGAAAAGTAGCTATCTTTGTCAATCTTTGTTTTAGTGCGTAAACAAACATTCGAATTTATACTGACGTAGACTTAAAAATCTGTACGCCGATGCCATTTTCCAACAACTTTCATTTACTCTGAGACGACAGGTGTCATTCAGAAAATACTGCAATCATTAACCTATCAGAATTTTTTATCATTGTTACAAAAAATGTTATAGTCTGTGTTTAAATTTTTATGACACTTGAATGATATCATGATTCTCCGCGGAAAGCGTCAACAGTAAAGACAGAGGAACTAGAATTTCAAACTGATATTCGAGCATTTTGATTGCTGTTTACGTCATTGCTGGCCCTCCTAAGACCTCCTTGTGTTGATGAATTCCGCCTGTTAATTTACCAGCATCACGAAATAATTCAGTTGGATGTAGTAAATTCTACTGTAGAACCATATTTCACACCAAATTCTACAGTCCAAGAGGAAATGGCAAACGGTTTATCATTGAACTCACTCATGGGAATATTCTTCATGTGTTTTTACATTGTAGTGTATTCAACCTCGAGTTTAGGGAACGTAGTGGTGTTGTATATCTGCGCTAAAAATAGTCGAAACACAGCCTTTCAACCTACTCGCACAGCATTTTTCAATCTTTACATCGCCAATCTTGCCATTGCGGACCTCCTTTTCACGCAGTTGACGATTTTTGATGCTGTTTACGCGATTCTCTACGAGTGGACCACAGGAGCCATTTTGTGCAAACTTCAGGGGTTTCTTGTCGAGTTATGCTACTCCGCTGGTATACTCACTCTTATAGCAATCAGCCGCGAGAGGGTTAAGTCAATCTCGGATTTACGGATAAAATCGCGCATTCAGCGAGTCAAAGAAAGACGATCTCGCTCCATAATCGTGTGGAGTCTGGCCATACTGCTATGCTCCCCTCTTCTCTACGCGTACAATTTGACGGAAGAAACTTCAAACGGTAACAGCGTCATACGCTGTTTAAACGACGCATGGTCGCACCTCGGAAGGCGAATTTATTACAGTTTAACCGGGGTTATACTATTCTTTACTCCTCTTTTAATAATGATATGGACGCAGTTGAAGATCAAACGCGTTTTTAAATCGCAGGTCGCACCAAATCAACAAATCGCTCTTTCAATGCGAGCGCGCCAAAGAAAAGCTAGTCGAATGTTGGGAGTAGTCACGATAGTCTTTTTCGCGTTTTGGTCTCCTTTCATTTTCACTCGAACACTTCGTTATTTTAACTGGTATGAAGGGGAATTAATTTGGAGACTAAGCCAGTTATTAACCATAGCTTCTGCTGCGGCAAACCCTTTCATTTATAGTTTTTACAGCACACATTTCAGGCTGTGTATAAAGAGGTTTCTAACTTGTAGATGTGGGCTAATGGCTGCAGTTGACACTGGGGACAATTCTACTGTGAATTCTCTGTATTAAGAGATTGTTTTATGCTTTATTGTATATAAACAAAGAATTCTAAAATGAAAACAAGTATTCAAAAATAGGGTATTCATACCTCATTTACAGCTGCCAGCTGTGCTAGCAAAGTGGAGTCCGTGTTGGATACAGGCTTTTACTATACCAGTTTGAATCCATGCGGTTATTGCCTGAATTTTAAGCTCTGTATTTTCTTTAATTTCTCTCAGCGTTTCCTTAATTATCGTACCCATGTGATAACATAAGAATTCTGTCAAGCCTTTACAAAATCTTACACGCTGAAGATGTGCTGATATGCAAATTATGTAAAGTTTCCTTTAATTTGCAAAGTAATCGTAAACATGTCTGAAAATCTTAGAAACTGAAATCTATTCATCTCGTTTTGTCAGACCATTTTTATCGTTTTGAGCTTCGTGTCAGTTCCTTTGTAAAAGATATTAGAAAATACCTTCCACAATGTTTCGGAGGTTTGAAAGAAAATCACGGGTATTTTTTAAGCCGGTAGTTCAAACTGATTAATTAAAACGAAAGAGAATCTACCCACTCTCTCTGTTTTGATATTTAAACCGACTAAAGCTGAATCCTTGCCGAGGAAAAGTTTAATCGTGAAAACGTTTTGTGGCTATCGGCGCCTACAACAGCCAACTGTAGTAATCAGGATAACAATCATTATGATTTGACCATGATACTACGAATAGATTTCTGCCCTGATCTGGAAACTCCAGATAAGCAGGAAGTTTAACAGAGGAGGGCAACGG